TAACAATCAGACCTTGGGAGTTAAAGGGTTTACCTTCCCCCCACCCCACCCCTGTAAGCAGCAATTAAGGGGGAACAATCAGACCTTGGGAGTTAAAGTGTTTACCTTCTCCCCACCCCACCCCTGTTTACCCATCCTCTTTCCTTAGGGTAAGTCAGCTAACAGCTTGTATTTGAACATTCACGCGATTTTCTTCTTGAAAAATGATAAAAATAATGAGGAAAACAAACGAAGGAAGCATTTTGCTTTTAAAAAATACATAAAAAGAAAAAGAAGAAAAATATAATTATAATAATAAAACAACTAACACCGCCTAGGATGGTATAGCTCGAATATATTGAGTGTAATGACTTAATATTCGGGAAAATATTCGACTGCCGGACACGGAGTATTTTCAATTTCCTTTCCGGAAGCTCGCGGCGAGCTTCAAAGTTAAGAATACCGGCATACCGGTTGCCGAGCTCACAAAACTCACACTACGGTGGAAATAGTGAAGTTTTCAGCCATATAAAGAAGGCTTTGTTATTATTAACAAAAAGTTAAAAAAGAAATTGACTGCCGAACGCGGAGTATTTTGAAAACACAGCGAAACAAGCCAAAATGTAATATCGTCCAGTTCGAAGCGGCCAAGAACGGATACAAACCGTAAGATAAATATGTTTTCCATATTTACACTTTGATTTGTGCATTATTTATAAATTTTTACATACCAAGCATCAGCGCTAAATATTGATTGTGTATTCGCTGCGTGAACTGCCCTTTGATGTCTCAAAATGTTCAGTAAGGCTGAACCATTAAGGCGTCTTTACCAGAAACAATGGCACTCTTCTACTATATTCAGTTTTTTTCGTTTGGGACGTTGAATTATGCACGAATACTTTTTGGGGGAGTTTTTCCCTCTATTCACCCCCCCCCCCTCCTCTTTTGCATTCACTGATCTGTTGACATTTTACAGGCTTCATCAAATAAGCTTTCAAAGATTATCTAATCAGTGGTCTGTAATTTTTTGACATCTTGATTAGTGCAGGAACATGAATTGTGTATTCGCTTCAAAAGCCGCAGCCGTTGACTGCCCTCCGCTGATCTAAATGTTCTGTTAGGATTGCGTGACAGGCCGTAAACACGAGCACTCTTCCTTCATATTCAATACTATTTGTTTGGGAACCTTAAATTATACTTGAATGCTCGTGGTGGGGGATTTTTTTTTCGCTAAATTTACCCCCTCATCTTTTTCATTCACTAATCTGATGACATTGGTTACTGTGGCCCACAGGTGCCACTGCTGCACACTGTAAAACAAACACGTTTCTAATTAAAACCTTGCTTTCTCTTTGCAATTATTCTTGTTTTCCATACAAATATAAGCCTGTTGCTTAGAAATTGACCTCCTCTGTAGAAATGAGCCTCCTCTGTAGAAATCAGCTTCCTCCGTAGAAATGAGCCTCCTCCGTAGAAATGAGCCTCCTCCGTAGAAATGAGNTTTTGATAATGGCGAATTTTTGCAGCTCATGTGGCGAAAATCTGGGCCAGTATGCCATGGCCAATTTTTGCCCCAAATGTGGGACGAAAGTGCACGCAGGTTAGCGATCGTTTCTTTTTTTTTTTTGCTGTGTTTGAAATGTGATTTCATATTTTATATAAAACCTGATAAACAACGATGATCGAGTACTACAACTAAATAAAGTTAGCCTGCTCCTTGCAAAAGAGGAATGAAAGCCACACAATTTTTATGAATTACATTTTAGTGTAGCTTGTTTACATTGTTTTCCCTGAAATATTTTATTTTCTAGTTGGATATTCATGTATGCTGTCAAGGCCTTATCTTTATTAACTATTCCCAAAATGTTACTGGTGGCCTACCTATTTTTCACTTGAATCGTTGCAGTATAGACTAGGGTATATCCAGGTGCACACGCACCCCATAATCTTGGTGTTGTTTGAAAATTAGCAATACCACGAAATACTGGGGTACCTGTGCTACCAACAAGCTTTGTAGATACAAATACTTTTGCCTCAACTTGCAAGATAACTTTAAACATTATTTTTTTTAGAGTTCAATGTGATAGAGAGCGTGGTAATAGAGAAGTATTTCCATTTTGGTTATGATTATAAAACAATCACAGGTCTGGTACAGGTCTACCATGGCATCACCATGAGTTTTCGCACTATTAAAAAGGAGACTTCAGAGCTATAATCTTGTGAAAAAGAAAATAAACGTAGATGAAGACTTGATTAGGAACATTATTAGAAGTGAAATGCAAGGGCCAGGACAGCTTACTGGTTACAGGAAGATGTGATATATACTAAGAATCAAACACCATGTACATGCACCAAGAAGGCTTGTTGTTCAAATTCTTCATGAACTTTCGATGATTTCAAACGACCTCCAAAAAGCTCCCCGTGTGCAGTACACAAAACGTCTACTCGATCATCGTTTACCAGGTTTTATATAAAACATGAAAACACATTTCAAACGCAGAAAAAAAACAGAAACGATCACTAACCTGCGTGCACTTTCGTGCCACATATGGGGCAAAAATTGGTCATGGCATACTGGCCCAGATTTTCGCCACACGAGCTGCAAAAATTCGCCATTATCAAAATGGCGGACTGCTACAAGAGAGAAGCCTGGGCTATAGGTACCAGTACTATGATTTCCACGGAGGAGGCTCATTTATACGGAGGAGGCTCATTTCTACGGAGGAAGCTGATTTCTACAGAGGAGGCTCATTTCTACAGAGGAGGTCAATTTCTAAGCAACAGGCTTATATTTGTATGGAAAACATGAACAATTGCAAAGAGAAAGCAAGGTTTCAATTAGAAACATGTTTGTTTTACAGTGTGCAGCAGTGGCACCTGTGGGCCCCCGTACATTGTTTTTCAGGCTTCATCAGATAAGCTTTCAAAGTTCATTTGATCAGTGGTAATTTTTTACATCTTGATTGGTGCAGGAACACATTGTATACTCGTCATGTTATTGCGTTTTTACTTGTAGGGTTGTTCTACTTGTGAAGCTACAAGCTTCCCACATTATTAGGTGGGAGAAGATTTACGCAGATAGGTATTGTCCTGTTTTACAAGTGTCTGGGAATCATGACCAAACATCAAGCGCTTAGCACGTAATAACTGATACGATCACTTTAACACTTTCGATAAACATAGATAAAATGAACGTCTTCACGTATGACACACAATCAGAGTACTTGTGCGTCGATAATCTGTACCACGGTGCGCTTTTGCACAGTTGTATCGTAATGGCAATAAAAAAAAAAAAAGTATTTTTATAGGATTACACAATTACTGGTGAACCAGTAGTTTCCATTGTGGTCCTCGCAAACGCATGAAACAAATGGTCTAAATTGAACATAACATCATTAAGAACATGATTAAGAACCCCAACCGGCCGGAGGCAAACCAG